CATGACATTGTACAAACTGCACAGTTCCCAGCGCTACTGTGGAGTGTGCATTACGATGCTCACATCAGGTGGCTCTCTTTTGCCTCACCTGACCAGAGCCCTAATGCTTACCTTTGCAGTGGCTACAATTGCCGCCATATCTATAATCAACGAACACTTCCTCTCAGCTACAGAGGCCCTCAAGTTTTGGACTCCACTGACAATCTGCTACACACTGCTAGTTGTTTATATGCAGGGTGAGAGACTGAACACACATTTGCCCTTTTTCAGTATATGTTTAAAAATGATTTAGGGGGTTTGCACATATAGCACAGTGCAACCAAAAGTACAAACATTTTTTGTTCTTACTAAGAAAACATTTTAGCTGACAATAATTATTTTCTACTCAGAGGAGCAACATAGTCACCCAAGTGGCCAGGCTGTTATGAACACAGTGGCAATGCGTCTTGGGGCACTCATGGTCCTGATGCTGACAGTTGGACGCTGGTCAGATGTGGTCCACATCTTCCTGTGTTTCCTGGGTGAGGCTGGCTGTCTGATTCCCTCCAGAGACCTGTTGGAGGTCGCAACTCAGGTGAGAATGAGTCTCATTTAATCTTTTCGGCAATACTGACTTGCCCTATTACTACGAATATATGTACAGTAAATGTTACCATAATTGTAATGATATGAATGTGTGTGTTTTATGCAGTATATGGAGGAAGTGCCCATACAGTACCAAAACAGTGAGAAAAGGAGGAGATGCCTGACACCCTGCAAAGACGACTAGGGTTAACTAATTTGCTTTTTTCTGCAAACTTGTTGTTCTGCATCATCGTTGTTCTGTCATTTTCAACTCTATATGTGATCCATATTTCTTTATTATATTCACAAGCATCCAAAGAAACTCAATTGAAACATACTGACTGCTTATAACTAAATGAGCAGACTATTCCCTATTCCTCAGCCCCAATACCGTTAGTAAACTATCAGGTATGTCAAAATCAAAAGTTTGATACGTTAAGATAAAAAAAAGAATGCACTGTTGATCTCAGCAATGACAGAAAACCTGTAAGACCAAGGATTTTTTTTATAGTGGATGTCAACACAACACTATAATCACCAGGGCTTAGTCTCCAGGGCGTAGTCTCCAAGAGTTAGTCTCCAGGAGTTAGTCTCCAGGATTTAGTCTCCAGGAGTTAGTCTCCAGGAGTTAGTCTCCAGGAGTTAGTCTCCAGGAGTAATCTCCAGGAGTTAGTCTCCAGGAGTAATCTCCAGGAGTTAGTCTCCAGGAGTTAGTCTCCAGGATTTAGTCTCCAGGAGTTAGTCTCCAGGAGTTAGTCTCCAGGGCGTAGTCTCCAGGAGTTAGTCTCCAGGAGTAATCTCCAGGAGTTAGTCTCCAGGAGTTAGTCTCCAGGAGTTAGTCTCCAGGATTTAGTCTCCAGGAGTTAGTCTCCAGGAGTTAGTCTCCAGGGCGTAGTCTCCAGGAGTTAGTCTCCAGGAGTTAGTCTCCAGGAGTAATCTCCAGGAGTTAGTCTCCAGGAGTAATCTCCAGGAGTTAGTCTCCAGGAGTAATCTCCAGGAGTTAGTCTCCAGGAGTTAGTCTCCAGGAGTAATCTCCAGGAGTTAGTCTCCAGGAGTAATCTCCAGGAGTCAGTCTCCAGGAGTTAGTCTCCAGGAGTTAGTCTCCAGGAGTAATCTCCAGGAGTTAGTCTTCAGGAGTTAGTCTCCAGGAGTTAGTCTCCAGGAGTTAGTCTCCAGGAGTAATCTCCAGGAGTTAGTCTCCAGGAGTTAGTCTCCAGGAGTTAGTCTCCAGGAGTTAGTCTCCAGGAGTTAGGCATATTCTTGCCTTCCTTAAAGTTGATAATAATCAACAACTGAAAACTATCATCATCAGTAAAGATGCATGGTCCAGTGTGTTCTGTGGGTGTAAAACAGTTATTGCTTGCAAAGAGTATGAATATTTCACATTGCTTTTATTGCCCCTGTTCACAGTCCTCATATTTTATTTAATGTGACAAAAACAGTCAAATACTCTCACGGTGAGATTAAAGGCTATTATAATTTTTTATTAAAAAATGTCTAGATTTGAGTATATTTTGTTGTTTCTCTATGAGGATGAATATGAATTTAGATACATTTACTGTAAGGTACTTGATCAGTTGTCTTTCATCACTAATTATAGTTTTGAAAAACAGAATGTTGCAGTGTTCCCTGAAATCACAAGGTGTCACTATAGGAACGTTTTTCTACTTTCTCTGGTAGCCTACCATGCTTGTTTTCCAATATTGGCCTTATTAGTTGACAGTCCCAGCCAACAAACTCCTTAAAATTATAAAGTTACTATGTGTGGGTCGATGCTGGTCATGACGTAAATGCCATGAACTGAAATATCAGCGTACTTGTTCACTGCATTTAGGCAAAATTGAGAATGTTGGTATATTATTGGAACACATCAGAATCAGGTTTATTGCCAAGTTTCTTTACACATACAAGGAATTTGTTCTGACCCATTTAGGAAACGTACATAAACAAATAGAGCAGAAAAAAACACAACACAAACATTTTGACAAGAGACCATGCTTAGTGGTATAAGTAATGGATAGATATAGTGTGTGTCAAATATATCTGAGTAGCGCAAATGAGCAAGGTCTAGATGTGAGAGCAGATTTGAAAATGTGCAAAGAGCAGAATGTAGAGAAATATGTAATTGTATATACAGTTATAGTACAGGATGGCCACCAATGTCAATCGTATCAGAGCTGACAGAGTCCAGGTAGTTAACGGGGGGGGGGGTGGATAAAGCTGTTCTTGTTTTGGTCTTGATAGATCGTAGCCATCTGCCAGAGGGGAGAGTTCTGAACTGTTCGTTACCCGGATAGGAGGGAACTGCCTCAATATTTGCTGCCCGCCTCAGTGACCTGACTTTGAACAGGTCCTTATGAGATGGCAGCTTACATCCTGTTATCCACTCTGCAGAGTGGATGATGCGTTTCAGTCTGTCTTTATCCTTGACAGTGGCTGCAGCGTACCAGACAGTGATGGAGGAGGTCAGGATGGACTTGATGATGGCTGTGTAGGCATTGATCATCGTAGATGTTGGGCGTAATGGGTCTAGAATTGTATCAGTGATGGTCTTGAGGTGTGAAAGCACCAGGCGCTCAAAGGACTTCATAACCACAGAGGTAAGGGCAATTGATCTGTAGTCATTTAGCCCTGTGATCCTTGGTTTCTTGGGGACTGAGATGATGGTGGAGGATTTGAAGCAGGCTGGGATGCTGCATTACTCCAAAGATGTTTTGAAAATGTCTGTCAACAACAGCAGATAGCTGATCAGCACAGGGCTTGAGTGTGGAGGCAGAGACTCTATCAGAACCAGCTGCCTTCCTTGGTGTTTATTGATGCCATTGTGGTCTCAGGGGAGGTATATATGAATTTAATTTCTATTCATGCTCATCCTGACACTTGTCTAATTAATAATTGATACAATCTCGCACATGAAATAAATCAGGTTTATTGTATTTATAAAATCAGGCAGGGCTGTACAGAGAAGGGAAATGCCAGCACAAGGATTATAGCTTCTTTTTGAAGTTGACAATGAATCACACATTCTCTTGTTATATATTTCTCTGGGTGTCACGGATTGGTGAGCTGTGTTGTACACAGGGTGTTAGGGGAGAGCACTTCTGTGTATTGTGTTGATTAGGAGCACAGCTGTTTTGGGTTTAGCTAAACACCGGCATAAGTTATTTAATCAGTAGGTAATTAAAGTCCCTGTTTTAGGTTCACAGGGCTTGATATTGTGTTATATGTTACGTTCCATGTAGGTGAGTGTTTGCATGTAGTTGTTCATTTTGCGAAGTCGTGCACCGTGTTGTGTCTCTTTCTTTAGTCGCTTTGTGTACCGCACTTTTCTTTTGATCCAGTGTATGTTTAGTTTCCGTTTGTGGGTCTGTAGGTTTAACTGTTTATGATGAATGTGATTATCCCCTCTGCGTGCGGCTCTATGCACTTCACCCAAAGGATAGTGTGACACTGGTCCTTTCAATGTTATTGGACACATCGTTATTTCTGGAGTGCTAGATACCACTTTGATTCTCTTTGACCATACATTCAATTATGATTGCAGAAATAATAAATACATTTTTTATAATTAATGTTCTTTCTTAAATTATAAAACATGATTTAGCTGAAGTGTTTTCGGACAATTTAGAGAATATAGAAGGGTTATATTGGTGATATCGATTCACATGTTTACCAATTGTTTTACAAGAGGACTACAGCAACCACCAATCTAGAAAATATTGTAGAAAACAATTAGGTATTTAGGCCTATTAGCAGTAGGCCTACTCAACATATTCTATTTCGAAACTGCTTTAGGAAACATAGAAAATAATCAGAATCAGAACACTGTCTCTCCTTCTCTCGTCCTCTCCTGTCTCACACGAGGTTCCTCCTCCAACTGTCTCGCTTTTGTCAACACTAGTCAAAGATGGGGTCGCTAAGAAAATTAAACACACTTACCTGCTTCATGAATCAGATTCGCACATTATAAAGATTTACGAGCTACAACACAGCTTCTGTGTAGGCTAGTCGTTAAATTGTAAACGGTAATTAGCTGGCTAGCAAGGTTACTGGTTCACATTCGCATAAGACAACTTGACTTAATTAGCATCGAATCGACGACAATGAAGCAAAACCTGAACTGATGTATTTACAACAATCACAAGAAACATTGATAGCCTACTGTTACCTGTATTCTCCTCTTGACTGTCTGGCCAGGGTGGTTTTTCCTTCAGATTTTTCTTTTTGTTACCACAATCTCCGCTAAGGGGGAGTCCTTATAGTAATTACACTCATCCAACAAACACAATGGTTTCACTGAGGTAAACTGCACTGAACAGTCGGACCAACCTACCAGATCTGACATGTTTTCATTCTGCATTCTATGTTTTTATTTTTACCTTCATTTAAACAGGTAGGCCAATTGGGAATAATTTCTCGTTTGCAACAGCAACCTGGGGAGAAACTGGGAATTGAACCCAGGACATTGCACATACAAAGCTTGCACTCTACCACGGAGCTACACCAACTGCTCCAAATGTCTAAGCCGTAGTCAACGTCTATCTTTGTGAAACCGGCCCAATGTCAAAGGGTCGTTCAATGTGAAGCCAGTGTCAGTGTCGTTTCCCCCTAGGTCACAGCCCAGGACGTTTACAAAAAAGGTTCTGTCAATCCCAAACAAACAAACTTGAAACAAGACCAAATATTATCACAACAACAGCAGAGGCAGGCCATTGGTTGTTGATTGACACCTTCCCAGTAGTGCTTTAAGACTTTTATATCCAAACCAACATCGTTCCAAAAGTTGTCATTTCTAATAGGAGGCTTGTGGTCCTGAGTCAGCATAACCTCTAACCGCTAAACAAGAGCAAGCAAGATCCTTTTGGGAAATATTAGCACGCTTGGGCATGTTTCAGTTGGGAAACCCAGAGTCTCTGAATTGTACAGTAGGAATTTCTGATTCTGTGCTAGAAGATAACATATTCATAACTTTGACAATGAAGTAAAGAACTAAACACAATGTGTGTTTAACATTATTTGTAAGGAAAGATTTAACCGTTTTATAATTGTATGTTCTCTACCCTGTGAGTGGACGATATGACCTTCAGGTTTACACATCAAGCTATCTTTATCTCTCTCTAGATCCCTCTTTGCTATACTAAGATATCTTAAAATACCTGCTCAACACAGAATCGCTGCCATGCCACACTCTCACATTACACGGCACACCTTTCACAGAATTACCTCATTCTGTCTTGTCATAATAAATACATACAGAACATGTTTTCCAGTGGTTTAGAATGGGGAGCTGCTGAAACAGACAGACGTGCAGTAACAGGCTTTCTGGGACAGCTAGAGGAGTGACATGCATTGATTTGGGTTGACATTCCCCCAGCAGCTGTCTCACAACTTGGTTCCCCTATAGCACTGTAAAACTACCTATATCCCACTGACCCATATCTTAATACTCACATGGCTTAGCGACACCTGTTTGTTGGTTGCCCCCCCCCAACACATGCCTGAATCAAGGCTAAGGCTGTAGTTTGGTAATGATTTCATTTACTCACTTTTTTACACGTGTGTATATTTGTGCCTGTGTTTGCTCTGGTAAATGGTAGATGTACACAACATGGAAACAAAACAAGTGTTGCATTCACTTTCTTACTGGACCAAGGTCTCGGATCGTTACTGCCTTGTCTCAATCTTCTCCGACTCTAGCCACTCGATTCATACACAATTTAACCAAAACATGACTTTTATATGACCACAGGAACAAATGTGGATCTGAAAAGTTGCATTTCTTAATGATATCTAGACTAGATTATTTTATTATCCTGATGTTATACTTTGTGGCAAAAGCTGAAAATTGGATGAAAAGGGGAAAAAACTAAAAACTGCAACTTCTTTCTTAAAAATGTTATTGATATATTAAATATGTTTATATTGTTACGTTATTATTTGAACTGGCACCATCAGAAGGGACCATAAATCTATCCTGGATATAACATGTTAGACAACACCAAGAACACGCTTGCGACGTCCCTTTAGGACAAACTGGGAGCTAAACAAAACCTACATGAAACATCCAGAAAAACCACCTCAAAATCTTTTGAAGCCACCATTGTTAAGGTGTCCCCTATTTGCAGGTACTTGTTACAAACTTTTTATTATCTATATGGTGTAAACAGTCTCTCTCTCTCTTCATATGATAAATTATTGCTGAACAAACGTAGCACACTTAAGCAACTATCAACGCTACAACTTTGTGACATTCCTTCTGTCCAGTTACTGTCTTCCATACACCTTCCAACACTTTCATTGGGACAACACCCGTTCTTTGTTAGGACCTATGGGACGGTAGGATATAGAAGTGGGTCCAGCATACCGTACATGCCTACCTCAGCAGACTGCACACCACCGCAGGCCTGCAGAGGAAACTACATGGTCAGGTGCTGCCTACTCCTTAGCATAGTTAATAATTCTCCCTGGAAAACCCCTGGAATATCTGACACACACACACTCACATATACACACATACACACACACATCTCAGACATTCTGGATGTGCTCAATCATGTTCACATTCTTCAAGGTATTGTCTTAAATATCCTCCAACCGCAGTAGTATCATCTGATATAAAGGAGGATCGGGTCATTCTGCATGGATGAGCCAAGCAAACATCTGCTTTCACAAGTCCTCTCTAGCATGACATGACCTGTGTTTCCATTAATAAGAGAGGCAGTAAATATGACTCAATGTAAATATGTTTCAGCTCAGAACTTAATGTTAACTAAATGAATCCAGGATATTCACTTCAGCCCAGTGCAATGGAAGATTTGTAATTTTCACTGCGTTTTATTACCATGACATTGTGCTATAATCCTTGTCATCTCTTAAAAATGTACTGCGTGGTAAAAGACTATGGAATCCTTCTTTATCTATTCAGTGTTTCTGCAGTACTCTCTGTTCCCAAACACTGACCTTAGATCTGTCTCTTCTGAGATTTTTAACATACTAGAAACTCTCACCTCCCTTCCCCCCAGGCCATGACTGTAGTCAAACTGAACAACATTGAGTGAGTTTCTGTAAGAATTTTACACAGAACTCCTAGCTGCCCCTACCACACTGTTCTGGAGGTCCTTTGCCAACAGGATTTGCTTTTGCCACATACTTAAACTCACCACCACCAAGCACAGTATACTATTAGAAATAAGGAGATAAGTAGAACCATAGAGGGTTTTGGGTTGGCCCCGATAGGTGAAACCGTTTCGGCGCTATGTAGAACTCTTTGCAGATGGTTCTGCCTAGAGCATACAATTAAGGGCTTTGTGTGTAATGATCACCGTTGGGCTTAGAATGTGCTTCTGCTGTCTGTGCTATTTGGGTTTGTGCGATTTCTATTGCTGGCTGTGCCCAGTGTCTCTGATCAGCGGCGTGTTTCTCTGCTCTGTTTACTCTATCATTGGCTCCACTGCTGGACTCGGCTTGTCGGCTTTGTTTACTTCACTGGTTCCAGGCAGAGGAGCGGAGTCTTGGCCAGTCCTGCACCCGTTGCCAATGCAGACTTTCTCCGTTTATATCATTTTTTGTGGCTTCTCTACTTTGAGCCCTGTGTCATGTCAATGGCTGGTTCCGGTGACATCCTCGGGTGTGGATTCAGCAGATTCCTTCGCATAGACCCCGTGTTTTGTCTCCCGCTGTAGTGTTAGCTGATTTTGGGTTCGTTTTGCCAACCTCTCCCTCCCTTCTTCCTTGTGGTCGCGTTTTGATGGAGTGGTTTCTGTCCCCAGTCCAGTCCATGGGCTGTGTGGGCGCTCCCTACAGGGTGTGAGACATGTCTCTGCCTTTTTTCACGGTTTTCTTGGGATATGCTCTGTGGGTGTACTCCCTTTAAACTGCCGGTGTAATATCCAGGATATTAGAAGATGTGGTACACAAAGTCAATCCAAAGGGTTATGGCAACCACTCGGTTGGTTTCCTTTTAGCGCATTTCCCCAACATGTCTGTTGAGCTTTGCGTTGGTCAACCTAGACACACTCATATGGAGAATGGAGTGCTCCACAGGGCCTCATATGTTGGAGCTGGTTGTCTGGCCTGCCTTTGTGCAGGGCCCTGGTTTAGCTAACAGATGATTCAGTGACTCCATTGGTCCCATCCTAGTCCATGATATCGGGAGGCTTCCCCCCTAGACCTTTCTGAGTAACTTTACCTCCTGTCTCTTGAGAAAATCCTTATTCTAAGATGTAAGGTACAATCAGGACAGACTGCTCAAGAATATATATATAAAAAAATTTTTTGACAAAGATTGGCGCAATTACAACGCAAGGCCTTGTGTCTGTCCAGATTTTGCCAATTAATAGTGGTTTATTTAATTGTCCTTAGTCTACTTACTTGGCGTAGCCAGGCATTGTGCCCTGCAGGTGTCCCCACATGCTTCAAGACCACAACAATTGGGCCAGTGCCGAAGCAGTCAACTGCGTCATGCCTGAATTACTGACCTGTTGCGCTTACCCTCACAAACATGCTTCTAAAGGCTCGTATTGGCTTACCGTAAGTCCTGCCTCCCTCCAACTCTGGACCTTCACCCGCACCAGCATGCTTAGGAACAGTTGCTAACACTAACCCTGCTGCTGTTAACTTGCTGAACTCTGAAACCCTTTGGTAACCTTGCAGGCACACAGCGAGCTTATTTACCTGCCATTTGCAGATGCATACTGTTGTACCCCTCATTGCTACCTCTTGCCCTACAAACTGCTAACTTCTTATTTCCATTGCCATTTGCACATTGAATTCTGATTGTACACTCCATTTGCACAGACTTGCACAGATGTTTTACGCTTGTACTCCCCTCTGCATATTTGTAATTTGATACATTGTTGAACTGAATACCTGCACAATTACTAATCCATGTCAATTGCTCATCCTCACACTGTACTCCATCTCATTTGACTCATACATCGACACTTTGACACACTGCCCTGCATATCATTTGTGCACTGCTCTTTTTGAACTTCTGGTTGGATGCATACTGCATTTCGTTGTATTGTACGTGATACTGTTCAATTACAAAAAAAGTTAAATCTAATCAACCAAATTACAATATATATTTGTCGCCTTATGTTTTTGAATTTATAGAGGTACAATCAAACATTTTATGTTTCGAAAATATGCGTCTAGCCTATTACACGATAGTTTGAAGAAAATATATATATGGATCATGGTTCCTGTTTACGGATCATAAGGTTTCTATAAACTGCAAATTCTGAAAAGTGTCCAAATGAATATGAAATAGCTATTAGGCAATTTTCATATGGCCCCGATTTTGCACGATTCCTTAAGGCCTGCCTTCCTTATCTAGGAGGATAAGAAAAGCAGAGAGGGAGTCCACTTGGAATGTGTGAAGAGCCTATGTGATATTGTTTGAGTGACCTGTCTTGAAGTCGTTACTGGTTAGTGCTGAGAAGATTTTGCTGAGAGAATAGTTGAATAGAAACAGAACACTCAAGCTTTGGAAAGGAATGTCAGAAGG